TGCGACTTCTCTTTTGTTTCATCACTCTGGTGAGAGATGTAAATAGCTCTTCTTTTTACAGCAACTGTTACTGACAGAAAAGTAAAATAAAACAGAGTTCACATTATTTCAAAATTCCTTTAACATTTTTCTGCAAAGACACAAATTATCTAAATCACTCCCTAAAAGACCTTTTAAATTCTAAGACTAATAATAAAATTATGGTTACATGTTTAATTAATGTTTATTATAGCTAGCATATTAGTTTTAGAAAGTCAAATTTATGATACAATGAAGCAATATTTTTTACATTCTGTGGGTCTAATATATAGCATACTGGGACCTAAAGTATAATAAAAATATTTTATTATTTTGTAGAACTCTGGAATACAACCTGCGTGGGGCTGAGATAGTATTGAATTTCAAGATGAATGAGTCAATATGAACCTTAGGCAAGTTACTTCATGTTTCAGGACTCAGCTTTCAGACTTGCAAAATGAAGTGTAGGGATAAATCCCCAACTCTTCTGGCACATTAAAAAATCATAATTAAAAAATAAGCATAATATAACATTTTAAATTACTGCAAATTTATAGATACAGCTCTTCCTTTTAGGATGTATCTTTGGTCCCAACTACAATGTGAGTTTCAGCCCTTCATTAGAAACACAAATTCTGATGAAAACACTGTCTCTGTAGGAAACAGAATCATTTTACCACAATTCTGTTCCAACTTCTTCACTTCCTACCTATATTTGTCTTTTAGAAGTTTATTCCCTAAAAATTCAGAAATATTTGTTCACCCTTGTCTCACTTCACTTTCTTTTATTATAACAAAGTATTTGAGGTTGGTAACTTATAGGTAAATAGTTTTATTTGTATCAAAATTCTAATGGCTGAAGGGTCCAAACTGCATGGTGCCAGCATTTTGGCAAGGCCTCCTGGCTGTGTGCCAACAGGGGATAGAAAGAGAAAGAGAACTGGCTGCCTGAAGAAAGGACCAAGAATGTGGGATGGCTTCACTTTATAATGACATGGTCATATGAGAGCTAGTTTCACTCTGTGAGACCAGCACTGATCCCTTTCCAGATAGTGACCCATGACCTAATTACCTTCTGCTAGGCCTCACCTCTGTAAGGTCCTACCACTTCTCAGCATCACCACATGGGGTGAGGCTTCCAGAACAAGAACATTTAGGAGGGAGGCACTCAAACTATATCCAAACCATAGTAATCCTCTGTGACTAAGCCTCTCTAAGCAGACTCCACATTCTGTTGTGACATAGAGTCAGGCCTCTGATTTCAATAGGCAAACACACTGCAGCAACTTTTGCAAATTCTCTGATTGAGTATACTATCAGAGAATGCATATAAAGCATCTGTTAGAATGCTTGATATACAGGGAATATTATATAGGGTATGCCTGACACAGTGGACAGCATGAACTGTGGGGAATCATTAAAACACATTTTTGTCTCCCATTCAGATGGTTCTTCTGTCACCAGATGAAAACTCAGACAAATATATGAGTCATTCTTGGGTTGCACAGGGGCCTATGGTAAATATAAAACATAAAATATAGTCTTGATTCAAAATCAAAGTGTGCAATTCCAATAGTTTGGTCTATTCCTTTCTCTCTATTCAGAAGGTGAGTTCTCTTTTGATTCCCTAGATGCTTAGTCCATTAGGGCCCACAGGTGAGGAAGGAAAAGGGAAAGAGAGATAAAGGAAGGAATAACAAAGTTCTCATTTAACAGTGACTGTTACTATTCTAAGCAAACCTTGCAGGAAGTTAATGCCAACTCTTACCCCTTAGTAATTTTGTAGCCTTTATTGCTAGTTGTACCCATCCTAGAATAATGTCCCTGATGTACATTTTCTTTAGTGAAAGAATGTGAGAGGATGCATCTCCCCCTCTCCCTCCACCCCTTGCCCTCCCTGCTTCCCATGAACTGAGCAGTTTTCCTCCATAGCACCTATCAGCCAGGATGCTCTTGGCAATGGAGTCAGACAACCATGGACTGAATCTTTGAAACCATGATTCAAAATGAACTTTTTCTCCTCTACATTGTTCTTGTCAGATATTTCAGTCATTTTTTTCCACCTATCAGTTTCCCATTTATTGTTGTTCCACCTAACTGGGGGATTCATCCACCTCTGGAAGTAGCACAGTTGGGCAGAAAAATCTTAGGGAGGATATCTTTGACAATGACACCTTTCCACTAGCCAACAATTTCTTAAATAGGGTACATAAAAAAGATGAATAGTATTCCAATAGGACTTTCCATCTTCCATTTAGGTCTAAGAAGTTGAAAAGAACGTTGCTCCCACTTTAACAGCAAAAATTTAAAAAGCTGAACTGCCTACATTAGGACTTATCTTAAGCCTGTCAGAGAGCAGAAGTCAGAGAGCAATAAACTAGCCTGACATTTAAGGGAAGACAGGCTTCAAGTAAAATTAATAAGTTTTGTAAATCCAAACACAACATTAAGATAAGCCATTGACTAGGAGAAAAAGAAAAAAGGAAACAAAACTTGTATATGGAATATGTAAAGAGTACACAAATGAGTAAGAAAAAAAGCAGATAACCCAATGGGAAAATGGGCAAAAGACTTGAGCAGACAGACATTCCACAGAAGAAGATAACCAATTGGATAATATATGAAAAGATGTTTAATATTTCATTATATATATATATATATTTCACAGTTTATTTATATGCTTTTCTGTTAACAGAAATTTTCATTATTTCCAGATACTTGTTGTTATGATAATAGTGCTATGAACATTCTTGAACATGTCTTTTAGTGAACATATGTTCTAAATGGAAATGAAAACCATAATGAGGTACCAGTACTCAGTCACTAAATAAACTAAAATTAAGGACTGCTAATACCAATACTGGTGAAGATGTGAATGAGATGAATCTGGTTGTAAATTTTTACAATAATTTTGGAAAACCTTGGCAATATTTTTCAAAGCTAAATGCACTGAAACTTTAAATTCAACAATTTTGCTCCTAAATATCTACCCAATAGAAATGAGCACATATGTTTACCAAAAGACATGTTCAAGAATTTTCATACCACTATTATCAAAACAACAAGTATCTGGAAATAATGAAAATTTCTATTAACAGAAAAGCATATAAACAAACTATGAAATATATATACAATGAAATACTAAACAAGAAAGAAAAAATGATGGTAACATGAAACAAGAATGAAACACATCATGAGCACAAGAAGTATAAAGGCATGGGGGGGGGGTAGTATTTGCTAAGAAGAACCATGAGGGAGATTTCTGGCTTCAGAAAACATTCTATGTATTAATCTTGGGTGTCTCCTTGGGGAGGTATGTAAATAAACTTCATCAAATAGCATAGTTAGGTACTATGCACTTTTCCACATATATGTTTAACTTAATGCAATATAATACAAAGAAAACATTACCTATAGCATAGCTCCAGGGCTAATGATAATATGGGCAGAATGAATATAAACAGACAGGAGTATGAGGACTTGTCAGGGCCCCTTGATCCTGTGTGTTTCCCATAAGTCTACAACAGAGAAGAAAACCACTTTAGCTCTGGAGCCTGTAGTGGATTAACCTTGATGCAGCTTCTCTTCTTTAGGTCCCAAATTTATACAGTATAAAAAGAAATATCTTTTTGTTATAAAAACTGCAGAAAAAGCATTTTTCTCAAATGTTTAAAAATAAAGATACTTGTTTTTATATACTTTTGTTACAGTGTCATCTTTCGGGATGCTTTCTATCAAGAGAATAAAGCTTCTTGTGCTATCCCCAAACTACTACATCATCTACTAACCAATAAAGATCTGAGAACTTTTACTAGACATATGCTATGCCTTGAAACAATATTAATTTTTAATGGCCTTTTCAACTTTTCAAGGATGGTTGTGTTAGCTTTTTGTCACTGTGACTAAAATATCTGACAAGAACAACCAAGAGGAGAAAAAGTTCATTTTGAATCATGGTTTCAAAGATTCAGTCCATGGTTGTCTGACTCCATTGCCATGGGCCCAAAATGAGGCAGAGCATCCTGGCTGATAGGTTCTATGGAGGAAAACTGCTCAGTTCATGGGAAACAGGGAGGGCAAGGGGTAGAGGGAGAGGGGGAGATGCATCCTTTCACAGCATGCCCCTAGGGACCCATCTCTGCCAGCCACACCCCACCTGCCTAAGGTTTCTACCCTGTTAATCCATTCAAACTAAAATAGACTGATTGGATTACAGCTCTCATAATCTAATCCTTTCATTTCTGAATATTCCTGCATTAACACAGGTACTTTGGGGGGACATCTTAAATCCAGACCATAACAAGGGCCATATCCACATCAGGCTTCCAGGACTCCAGCACTTGTGATGTCAGGATTGCAGGTGCTCCCAACACAGCAGCCTCTCATTCTTTCAGTTTTGCCACTGCGGTAGGTCCTCTGTATTTCCCTGTGAGCATCAGACAGCAGCCCTTAATCCTTCCAACTATGAGGTTTACCCTTTAACTTGGAGCCATTCCAGAGGTCCTCTCACTGGGTCTAAGCAGGAAAAAAAGTCACCTCATCCCCCACATTTTGTTGAGGGTTACATACAACCCACCAATCTTCCCCTAACATATTCCTCACGAAACCTCTTTCCTCTTCCTATTTTGCATATCTCTGATATGAATGAGAAGTCTGAGAGTCTTTGAGCACTAGACAGTTTGTAACTGCACCGCATTTTCATTCCACACTTTACTCTGTTGCCCAGCATCTACAGTTAATGTTAGGTGTCTCCATTGAAATATCCTATTATAGTGATTTCAGATTGAACTTTATGAAATTGTTGATTATTGACTATTTTTGACCTAAAAGAATTGAAAATTAATATGGTCCAAACTAACAGTTTTATTCAGGATAGGCTTTTCAGAGAAACTGAACTTTAGGTTGGATTTGAACAAAAGGAAAAGTGGGTTCTCCAATGAATACCCAGAAAAATATTAAAACAGCTTTTGTGAGCACCTTACCTTAAATTTCAGATCAGCACACAGGTCCTGTTGCTTTTTTCTGTCCTTAGCCAATATGCTCTCCATTTCATGAGCTGCACAGGCCTCAAGGAGGGTAAGTACTGCCTTCTGTATAAAGTCTTTCCTATTCTTATTCCAATTTTCTATCAAGATCCTTCGCTGCTCCCTAGCAAAGTGATATTGGTCACAATGTTTCTCATGTTCTACCTGAAAAGATAATAGATGGTGAACTCTTATCATTGTTAAAATGAGCCTATGATGTATGTCATTGTTATAAAAATGAATAGAATTAATTATAACCAATGATTTTAAAAAACTGGGACAAACATCTTAATAGTAAACACAGTAACTAAGACTGGCAATTGAGAAAAAGGCATTCAATGTTTACAAGTCTTTTATTTATTTATTTATTTATTTATTTATTATTGGTTGTTCAAAACATTACAAAGCTCTTGACATATCATATTTCATACATTAGATTCAAGTGGGTTATGAACTCCCATTTTTACCCCAAATACAGATTGCAGAAACAAGTCCTTTTATAAATCCTTACTTTCCTCATATAGAATGGGTTCAGACCAAGTGGTCTCTAAAGAAACTTTCACTTCTAAGTGGCATGATTCAGTGAGCAGAAAGCAAGACTCCCTCCATATATAATTTTAAGTGCACCATTTTTTAAGTCAGTTGTTGGCATCGTTTAACAATTATATCAAGTCTTTATGACAACGTAAAACATAAGCATAAAAATTGCTACAATAATCCTGAAGATTCAGTTTGCTTTTAATTATCAAAACATTCAGATGTTAGAATGACTAAACTTAATTATAGCAATGACATTTAGCCTTCTCATCCTACATTCTTGAGGGATATGACATTGTCACATAGTAACTAGGGACACTTTTGGCAGTGATTCTCAATCATGGAAAGTATCAGAGTATGGGGTTGGCAGGGGGGTGAAAGGGGTACACAAAGAGCAGAAAAGAAGAGCCTGAAAGTTTAAAAATCTCCTGCAAATGATTCTGAAGATCTCATACAAAGGTGTGTTTTCTGAACTAAAGCATCACTGATCTAAAGAATTCTTTATTTTTTCAGTACAGACCACACCTTTGCATTGACATACTATTTAATTCCTAAGTGGTATGAGAAAAGAAGCTAGCAAGCAGGATAGAGTATGTCCCACCTAAAATAACACTTTAGGTATGGTTAAATAGACACATGATCAAACAGACTATGATCTCACTTAAACCAAGTATCAGCTACTAAAATGTGTTCTGAAAATGTCTTAGCTTTGTTAATAAGGTTAAAAATATATTTAACATCTGTCAAACATTAAGAAGGGAATGATACACCATGCAGAAACATGGTCTAATCGATCCAATGTAGAATAAAAATGCAAAAAAAATCATGTAAATTGTAGAAAAAATATAAAAATCTACAGGTAACAATGGCAGCTGGTCACAGAGGCAAATAAAATTGATTAGGAATAAAAGAAGATATAATTTAGTAAATTAAGAATGTAAAAAAATCCAGAATTAATTATTTATTATGTAAGAGGTATCTGTTTTAGACCAGAATTTAAACAATTAATTGTTGAAATGGTGGTGACAGGGAAAGAATAGGAAGAATGTGGGAAATAGTCACTCTAACTATGTGGACTTTGCTTCAGTTTCTTAATGAGAAAATAAGAATAACAATAGTATTACTTTCACCCACTGCTATGTGTGTTAAAAGGAGTTTCCCTAAAACTGATGTATAGTCATTTCTATACACATGTGAGTATTGCTGTTACTTGCTTAATTTAAAACAATAATAAAAGTACAGGGTATGTGATAATATTTTGTAGCATTAAAAATCAAGAGCCTAGAGAAGAGGAGCAGCAGCCTGCTGAGAGGCTGAGCCACCCCCTCCCCCTGCGCCGGCAAAGTAGAGGGAACTGTGACCATGCACAGAGCAGGCCCAGCGGCCTGCTAAGGGGCAGAGCCGCCCCCCCACCCCCCGCGCCTGCCAGGTAGGTGGAACGGTGACCACCGACAGAAAAGGCCCAGTGGCCCGCGGCGGGACAGAGCTTCCAATCACTCCTGCAAGGTAGGTGGGCCTGCGACCCACCGGCAGAAGAGGAGCAGCAGCCTGCTGAGAGGCAGAGCCGCCCCCTCCCCCTGCACCGGCAAGGTAGACGGAACTGTGACCACGCACAGAGCAGGCCCAGCGGCCTGCTGAGGGGCAGAGCCGCCCCCCACCCCCCGCGCCTGTCAGGTAGGCGGAACTGTGACCACTGACAGAAAAGGCCCAGTGGCCCGCGGAGTGGCAGAGCTTCCAATCACTCCTGCAAGGTAGGCAGGCCTGCGACCCACCGGCAGAAGAGGAGCAGCGACCTGCTGAGAGGCAGAGCCGCCCCCTCCCCCCCACGCCTGCAAGGTAGACGGAACTGTGACCACGATCAGAACAGGCCAGACCTGCAACCGAGAGACAGAACAGGCCCAGTGGCCTGAGGAAGGGTAGAGCCGCCCCCCCCCGCGCCTGCAACGTTACATGCTTGTTTACATATAATTTATAAGACAAGTCATTGTAAAATTAATTGGTGATATGGTAACCTCTATTTTCTTGTCTTTGTGGGTTTTCCCATGAAAGAATGAAACAATAATTTTCCAATTCCTTCTCATGGAAATTTAAGTCATGTCTTTGAGTTCTGAATTTGGGGTCTTTGTGTTTTCTACCCACGTAGGGGAACAGGCAGAGTTGCTGTGATGGGGAAGATACAGGTAAGTGACATCTCTCAGGGTGAGTGTTGGCATCCTTATGACTAGAGGGGCTGAGGTGTGGCAGACTTTGTGGATGCAAGGGCAAGCATTTAACCTTCAGGAAAGATCCAGACGTGGTGGAACCTCTGAGAGTAGGCAGGTAACTGTTTGTAAACCTGAGGATCAAACACTAGCGGACCATCCTGGGAGCCATGGTGAAGATTTCTGGGACAAGTTGCCAGACAGGCCCTCACCTGCTTATGGACTATATAGATTTTGGGGGAAAAATGACCTGCACAGACTTTCAACCTGTAATTCAACTATTTTCTATAGAGTAGGAAATACAATACATTTTAGATTATTTTCACACACACACACACACGTGCACACACACATATCTCCATAATCATTGACCCCTAAAACAATTTCAACTTGCACTCACCAAGTCATGCCTAGATTTGTGAGGAAAATATCTTTGTAACATATCGAGATACAGAGTCCTTCTGCCAAAGAGATCTCCAGGATACTGATCTAAAATAGCCTGGTAAATCCAGTGGTCTTCTTCACTTAGGTGGAAGTTTCTGAAAGCAACAAAAATATTATAACATATAGTTTAGAAATTATGAACTTTAGATTTTCCAAGATGGCGGCCGGCGAGCAGGCAGCACTTTCAATACCTCCACAGTAACGGGATCAGAGAGACCCATTAATACACCTACATGCTACCTGCTGAGAAACTTCTAGCAAAATTCGGCTGAAAGGAGACCTGCCGGGAATTAGTAAGTTTATTGGAAGTGTCAGTTTGTCTCGGCCACAAGGCGCAGGGGCCCAGTCCCGCCGGCGAACGTTCAAACAGCCGCTGCCTGCCCAGGCCCCTGCCGGTCCGGCTCTGTGAACCGCCCCTGGCGGTTCGGCACTGCAAACGACCCCCACCCCTCGGGTGAACAGCTCCCGCCCGCCCGACACTGCGAACAGCCCCGCTCGCATGGCGAACGGGCCCGGCCCACCAGGCTCTGCGAACGACCCCGCCCAACCGGCGAAAGGCCCCGCCCACCAGGCTCAGGAGGCGACGTGAAGGGACTCTAACCAAGCCTTTATGAAATAGTGAACTGGGAGCTAAAACCAGAGATTGAGTCAGAACAGAGACAAGCCAGTCCCACCCCTCCCTTCGGATACTCCGGCAAGGAGCCAGGGGCCGCCATAGCAGAGAGGGGAAGTCACCAGAGTTCGGCCAACGAGATTCCTTCCCAGCGGAATCTACTTTAGCAGGTGTGTGACTCCCACCAACACCAGATACAAACAACCCGGAAACTTCAAAAATCTCTCAGTGGGCGTGACCGTAAGGGCCAAGGGACTCCCGAACCCAAACTCCCCCTACTGCCAGTGACGTGGGCGTGACTGTAGAGGTGGAGGGAAGCAGAGAAGACTCCCCACCCCCAACTCCCCCAACCGCTAACAGAGAGGGTGAGACGGTAGGGGCGGAGGGAAACAGAGGTCACTCCTGACCCCCAACTCCTCCTACCGCCAGCGGAGTGGTTGTAATTGTAGGGGCTGAGGGTAGCAGAGGGGATTCTCGACCCCCAACTCACATTACCACCAGTGGCGACACACAAGGTCTTAGCCGCCAGCTTCCCAGGGCGTGCCCACCAAAGGGGTCCGGAAAAACTAAACTATTGACTCCCAGACCACAGCTCCACAGCACTGGGGCTTAGATGAATGGTAGAGAGAGTGCTCCGTCATTCGGGAAATAGGGCACGCAGTGGGGCTGAAAGTGTAACCAGATCCTTGGGGAACCGCCTCTGGTGAGCAGGACCTGGCTGGCTGGCAGGAGGAAGGGGAGGAGGGGCAGGAGAAGTGGAACGACTCTGGACTAACAGGATTGAGAGACTCCCAGGAGCTGCCTTACAGGGATTGCTGTTGACACATAGAGGGCAAAACTCAGCCCGGAGGGCACAGCTCTGCCTACGGGAAGAGAAGAAAATGGATCTCTAAGACCTAATTCAATTTTATTTTATTTTATTCTATTTTTTCTCTCCCCTTTTCCTTCTTTCTTTCCCCTTTCAATTTTTATTGTTCTTTCCATTCTCCTCTATTCTATCTATCTCCCTCTCCTTCTTTCTTTTTAAGAGCACCTTCTTTCCCCTTCTCCCCAACTTTCATCCCAAGCATTATGTCCTCCATTACGTGTAATTGTCTAAATGCAAATAGGTGAATGTTTCGAGGCTGTCTATAGGGCTCCTAAATACCTAGCTACTACCAACACCCTGATCCAATCGACAGTTAGTATCCCCCTTCAGTAGAGCAACCTTCTAAAGTAGCCAAGACATACTAACCCTTATACCTTCATAGCACCTAACCTAAACATAAAGTCCTAAGAACAAACAACAAATCACTATATGCATACAGAATCCGGAAGCCCTTTATAAATTGAATGAATCAGCTTTAAAGTACAATAAAGCCCGACATCTCTAGGCATAATCTCCCACCACAAAGGAGAGACAACAGAGATACACAAAGCCAAAACAAATGTATAGGAGAAAGCAGTTACAAAGCAGTCAAACAGAGCTGGAAAGTAACGTGAACACCATGAAAAAACAAGGGAAAAAAGGAGTACAAACAATGCAGGACAACTTAAGTCTACAGGAGGACCTAGAAGCATCAGAAGCATGGATAGGGAAAGAACTCAAGGCATACCTAACTCAGATGGAAAGGAATATTAGAGAAGACATGAGACAGCAAGTCCAAGCAATAAAAGTATATTTTGAAAATGAATTAAACAAACAAATTCAAATGGCAAAGAACGAGCTTTACCAGGATAGAGATCTTAAAAAAAAAACCAAACAGTAATCCTAGAAATGCAGGAAACTATAAACCAAATTAAATATTCAAATGAGAATATTACAAATAGACTAGATCAAGTAGAAGTCAGAACATCAGATAATGAAGACAAAGTTTATCAACTTGAAAAGAATATAGTCAACACAGAAAAGATGCTTAAATCCCACGAGCAAGCTATTCAAGAGATATGGGATGTCATAAAAAAAACAAATATGAGAGTCATCGGGATAGAAGAAGGCATTGAGATTCAAACCAAAGGAATGGACAACATATTAAATGAAATAATTCTAGAAAACTTCCCAGAGATGAAAGATGGAATGGATTGCCAAATCCTGGAAGCCTACAGGACCCCAAACATTCAAAACCATAATAGACCAACTCCAAGACATATAATTATGAAGATGGCCAACATACAGAACAAGGAGAGAATATTAAAAGCTAGGAGAGAAAGGAGGCAGATTACATTCAGGGGTAAACCAATTAGGTTAACGACTGATTTTTCATCACAGACTTTGAAAGCCAGAAGATCCTGGAACAATGTATTTCAAACGCTGAAAAACAATGGATTCCAACCAAGAATACTGTATCCAGCAAAATTAAGCTTCAGATTTGACAATGAAATTAAAACATTTCACGATAAACAAAAGCTAAAAGAATTCGCAGCCAGAAAACCAGCACTGCAAAGCATTTTGAGCAAAATACTATAAGAAGAGGAATTGAAAAATAGTGCCCAAAACTAACAGCGGGAGGTATCTCAGTAAAGGGGGAGGAAAATAACCAAAGAGTAAAAACTAGCCAAACTAAAATAAATAAATAAATAAACATGACTGGAAATACAAATCATATTTCAATTGTAACATTAAATGTTAATGGCCTAAATTCACCAATCAAGAGACATAAGCTAGTAACCTGGATCAAAAAAAGGAATCCAACAATATGCTGCCTTCAGGAGACTCATATGATAGGAAAAGACATACACAGGCTGAAGGTGAAAGGTTGGGAAAAATCATACCACTCACATGGCCCTCGGAAGCAAGCAGGAGTGGCCATACTCATATAGAATAAAATCAACTTCAAACCTAAATTAATCAAAAGGGATAAAGAAGGACACTATATACTGTTAAAAGGAACCATCCACCAAGAAGACATAACAATTATCAATTTGTATGCACCAAACAATGGTGCGGCAACGTTCATAAAACAAACTCTCCTCAAGTTCAAGAGTCAAATAGACCACAACACAATAATTATGGGTGACTTCAACACACCGCTCTCGCCATTAGACAGATCCTCCAGACAAAAGCTGAATAAAGAAACTAGAGAACTCAATAACACAATCAATAACCTAGACTTAACTGACATATATAGAATATATCAACCATCATCAAGTGGATACACATTCTTCTCAGCAGCACATGGATCCTACTCAAAGATAGACCATATATTATGCCATAGGGCAACTCTTAGTAAATATAAAGGTGTGGAGATAATACCATGCACCATATCTGATCATAATGGAATGAAACTGGAAATCAATGATAAAAGAAGGAAGGAAAAATCATGCATCACATGGAAAATAAACAATATGTTACTGAACGATCAATGGGTTACAGAAGACATAAAGGAGGAAATCAAAAAATTCTTAGAGATAAACGACAATACAGACACAACATACCGGAATCTATGGGACACAATGAAAGCAGTTTTAAGGGGGAAAATCATTTCCTGGAATTCATTCCTCAAAAAAAGAAAAAACCAACAAATAAATGAACTCACACTACATCTCAAAACCCTAGAAAAGGAAGAGCAAAACAACAGCAAATATAACAGAAGACAAGAAATAATTAAAATCAGAGTGGAACTCAATGAAATTGAAACAAAAAAAACCATTGAAAAAATTGATAAAACTAAAAGTTGGTTCTTTGAAAAAATAAATAAGATCGACAAACCCTTAGCCATGCTAACGAAGAGAAGAAGAGAGAAAACTCAAATTACTAACATACGGGATGAAAAAGGCAATATCACAACAGACACTACAGAAATACAGAAGATAATTAGAAAGTATTTTGAAACCCTATATTCTAATAAAATAGAAGACAGTGAAGATATCGATAAATTTCTTAAGTCATATGATCTGCCCAGATTGAGTCAGGAAGACACACGCAATTTAAACAGACCAATAACAAAGGAAGAAATAGAAGAAGCCCAAAAGACTACCAACCAAGAAAAGCCCTGGACCGGATGGGTATACAGCGGAGTTTTACAAAACCTTCAAAGAAGAATTAATACCAATACTTTTCAAGCTATTTCAAGAAATAGAAAAAGAAGGAGCTCTTCCAAACTCATTCTATGAGGCCAACATCACCCTGATCCCGAAACCAGACAAAGACACTGCAAAGAAAGAAAACTACAGACCAATATCTCTAATGAACATAGATGCAAAAATTCTCAATAAAATCCTGGCGAATCGAATACAAAAGCATATCAAAAAAATTGTGCACCATGATCAAGTAGGATTCATCCCTGGGATGCAAGGCTGGTTCAATATACGGAAATCAATAAATGTTATTCACCACATCAATAGACTTAAAGATAAGAACCATATGATCGTCTCGATAGATGCAGAAAAAGCATTCGACAAAGTACAGCATCACTTTATGTTCAAAACTCTAGAAAAACTAGGGATAACAGGAACATACCTCAACATTGTAAAAGCTATATATGCTAAGCCTCAGGCTAGCAT